AGTTAAGCATATTGTGCAAAATAGCAATAAAAAGATAAAAATCCTATCAGATTTATAGTCCCCACCCTGCAAATATATTAGAATCTGTCCTTAAATTACAGCCAAACCCATTTACACAGTAACAGATTAAAACCCTTAGATAAACCAAACATTACCGCCACATATATGAGCAGCACCAAAGAATGTATCAGTTAAAAAAACGAAGTGAACACGATACGTCTCACAAACAGCAGCACCATCTAGTAGATCCAAACGTTCTAACACTTAGAATTTTTGGTCAAAGGAGTCCGATGTAATTGTGTTGTGAGAGCCATCAGTATAAGGTGTGTGTCATGTTGAGAGACCAGTGTTTTCTTGTGTCAACATCACAGTATCATACTGAAAATGGTTGGGTACCTAATCAAAAAAGCAATGAGTAATTGTAGTAGATTGTAATGACTGAACTCACCGCTGTATTGAAATAGTGACGTCACTTTTCACAGTCATAGTGTCATTTTGTCCTCAGAGGTAATTTCACCGCCTTAGTTTACTCCAGGAGGATTCAGCTGTTTTTCTGAACCACCAACGTCATTCCGTGACATTTTGTGTGGTGATCTGTTTAGAACTTAAAAACAGATCAAAGTCCTGTGTGGTAAGCAGTGTGAAACACCAGCTGCTGGCGGGGCAATGTCTGCTGCTTTTTTCATTGCGCTGGCTAGAGAGAATAGATCCAATATTCTTCCCTTTATTTAAATTTTCTCCAGCCTTCATATTGATCCTGATCAGCCATCCACTGGCAAGTGCGTGCAGGATCTTCTGTTTACTGAGCCGTCTGCTCCTGTTAGATTTGCATGGGGACTGGAACAGTGGTGGTTTCTCAGTCCCTCTGAGGGAACAAGTTTCATCCGTTTCAGCATCATTCAATCTGTTTTTGAAGAGCCTCATTATGCAGCTGCAGTCTGCATATGACCATTCTACCTGATGAACTCTCCACACAGCATCTGTGTTTGACAGTAGCGTCATTAGACAACTCTTAGTTTGCATTTATTAAAAAATTTAATCTGAAAACTGGGATATAAGTTGAAGCGTAAACTATAAAAGATCAGCCGCAGAATGGGGGAGAGGTGTGTCCCTTCTGATGCTCTGTTTCCAATGCCAGCTTGTGATTGGCTAGCGTTCAACAATGATGTAATGTCCAGCAATGAACAGCTTATTTCAGTGTAAGGGGAAGAAAGTTGAGAGGTGCTGCTTGTTTCACTTTCACGAATGAAGCGGGGAGGATTCCGTGTTTTAAAGGAAAGTGTTCGATACCTACAGGCCGAGGGTCAGCAAACCGCAGGACTTGCTTCAACACTCCCCCTTATCATCCCATTAGAGTGCAGGCTGATCAGTGTATTTTTGGTAATCCTGCAGGATGAGTGACAGATTAGCAGACGCAGTGATCTCTGCTGCTGCACGTTAGCAGACCAAGCTCTCGTGCACGCACTGACAAGTGCAGGTCGGATATTTGACCGTGATCCTGCTGACCTCTGAGTGTGCAGAACCCTCCAGACCCTCAATGTGGAGCTAAGGAACAGTTCCAGCCTTTTTTTTTATTATGTTGCAACAAATGCAGGGATTTCTGATGCTGTAGATAACAGAGGGAGATCCAACTGGCAGAGATATTAGTTATTTACCCTCAATTTAAAATAAATAATTCAACGGGGAGAGACTCAAACAGTGAAAAGCTGCAATTGGAAAATGTTTCATTTATTTATACAGGTAACACAATCACATTCTTCAAAATTTTTCTATCAAAGGAAAACCAGCTGATTGCAAGGACTTATTGACTCTCCTCAATCCCTCACACTGAGCATGCATGTAGCGACAGTGGAGTGGGAAAATCCCTTTTAACAGGACAAAAGCTCCTGCAGAACCAGGCTCAGTGTAAGTGGCCATCTGCCGAGGCTAACTGGGGTTCAAGTGGACAGAAGAAGACATAAACAAAATAAGTTATTTGGTGTTCGGGCCCCGGCAGAAGACTTTGAAGCTGTGAATCGACGTACCTTTGGATGAGTAACCTAGAAAAGGATTAGAGTAGTCTTCTCCCGGGGCCCGGACACTGGTCGTAGAGTAAGCCAGAGGGTTAGGGGGACTGAGAATGAGGGGGGAGATGGGGTGGAGGTGGGTGAAAGTTGGCTTGCATGTGGAAGAGAGAAGCTAGGCCAAGAGCTAAATGAAGGGGATCTTGCAAGATGATTGTCTTTGTAGAAGGTGCTGCCCCCCCGAGTTAACTGGCTGGAGCAGAGTGAGGGATATCGCAGGTGGAACTGACAAGACTCTTCCGGATTATATTTACGCTTAAGCTTTATTTCTTCATGGTTAAATGACATGTTTTTAAGTTATGTCTACATGATACATGTTCAGGTGTGCTTACTGATTACATACTGATCCTAATGTTGAAATATGTGGAGGATTCCTGCCTGTTCTAATGAATGGGCTTTATCCACCACTTAACAGCAAAAACATTATGACCATTGACTTATAAAATCACTGATTTCTGAATGTTCCTGTTGGTAGGTTTTTTTCAAAATGTTCCAATTACAGTGAGAAATATAGATATTTTAACACCCTGCTATTTTGCAAGGTCTGTGTTTTTTATTTGTATTTTTTAAATCATTAGTTGTGTCTCACAGTGGACATACACCTACGATGACCCTTTCAGACCCCACCATGATTTCTAAGTGGGAGAACTTGCAAAATAGCAGGTGTTCAAGTACTTATTACTTAATCTTTCATGGAGTCCACAGGAAGAAATCTGTGGGATGGAAAGGAAGTCTGGGTATACTGCTGATAGCAGGAGCACTGTGCTACACTGGACTGCACATGGTCCAGCATCCATTTGTTCTCTCGGGGAAGCAGCCTCTCCAACATATTTTAATCCGATCAAGATTCCTGGAGACGTTCTGGGCAGACGAGACTGATTCATGAACTTCCCTGCCAAAAGGTCCTGATAGTGCTGTCTGCTTTGTCTAAATTAGTGGCTTTGTAGAAATTGATCTATGATGGCATCTTCGACTTTAACACTATATAAGCAAATGCAAATGGCCCTGGTTTGTTTTGATTTATTTAAGGGGATGTTCATAATTTGGTGGTTTTTGTGCATTTTTATGCCATTCAGAGTCAACTCTAGCAGTATATATAATGGAATATAAATTTTCACACTAGCAAAAATTTATTTCTGATGAACTTTTATGTTTTTTATTAGTCTTACTCGGTTTTACTGTGACACCTACTCCCCATCGTGTGCCATTGGAATCAGTGGTTGCTGCTAAGCTGCTTAAACATCAACTTTTGCAACTGTTTGTATCAAGCAAAAACCTGATTGTGAGCTTCAACAAGCACATATATGTAGTGTAAAATTTACATGCCAAAGGTTTATGACCTGCAGCTCTGGAGCCAGATGTGGCTCTTTGGACTCTCTAAAATGCCTTTAAAATGTCATAAAGAATCAACTAAATTAGTAAAATAAAAGACACCAGTTTTAGAAGCTTTGGTATTTTTTAAAGAATCTTTGATTCAATTTTCAGAATTACATTAAAAAACAGAAATTTTTTAGAAGTCATTTAGAAAGCATTTAGAAAACTCCATGCTTCATCTTCACAAAACACTTTATTGTTTTCCCTTTTTTAAAGGCTAAAAGTATCAGTTATTTGAAATGGCAATATATTTGCTATATCAGATATTTAACAATAATAAGCAGTAATTTATTGAAAGGCAATTTAATAGTTGCAGCTCTAAATGCCTTTTTTTAGCTAGACTCAGGGAAAAATGCTCTTATGATTTTAAAGGTTGCAGACCCGGGAACCCACAACAAAAAGCGAGGTAATACAATATTGCTTTGTTACAATCATTTAGCTAGCCAACCTACTAGCATTAAAATTGGAGAGAAGGAAGTCTGATTACCTCTTCTGTGTTTCCTGTCCACCAGCTACTTTTAGGGTTCCAACTGCATCATGTTTGAGGACTAAACACTTCCTAGATTTACTTTGAATCTGGCCAAGGTTCATAAAGCTGTCTGGTCTAAACACACATTTTTCTGAGAGAAAGCCCTTGAGAAATGCACCAGACAAAATTCGCTGGAGTTGAAAAATGTGTATTTTAGTTTAGATTTGCCTCACGAAACCCAACCAGGGACTGGATGTGCTGTGACCTACAGTACAGTGAAGGTGTGCAGTGGAGACAAGCTTTTTTCAAAGTCAAAAATCGAAGATAAAGAAAATAATTTTGATAAAGGATGAATTTGGGAATGCTCTTAGGATTTATAAGGTGTGTAAGAGGGTTTAAATAAAGCTGTTTCAATTTAGCACAGAGGGACAGTTGACGTCCTCCCTTAGCTGCAGCACAGACTCTGGCCAGCCGCCGCCCTCTCTCTCCCTGCTCTGGCACTGTCTGCCGGGCGGATTTCTCTGATGTACCGCTGTCCTTACATCTCCTCCAGAGGCATGTGACCAAAACCACTCTGACGAGGGAGTTAAGGACCCATCAGTACCCCCTGACGACCATTAACACCCCATATGTGACCCCCTTGGTCAATCCAGTTGGAAGGATCAAAACCACCTTTTGTCCCCCCTAATTCTTTGTTAGACCTACAGCATATTAATCTCATTGCTCCCCATCACTAATGTCCTGTTTGTTATAATGGGCTTTAAAGATCTGACCCACATGCAGAGAACATCTCAGAGAAGAAGGGTAAAAGTTTAACAGGTTTATTGTAGGTTAGCAAACACTGCTGGAGATTAAAACTCTGTGGGGAAACAATGCTGGAACTTAGGGGACTGGTGAACCGGAACCGGAAACTCTGAAGGGGAGATCACAGTGATCAGTTCGGGGACAGTGGGAAAATAGAAAATAGGCTTTAATATTGCTGGAGAGGCACTCACTTTTGGGGGGGCTCTTGGTTTATCCTCGGATCCAGTTTGTGGGGGTTAATCCAGAGAAGAGGAAACTCGTTGGAGACAGGCAGACATACGTTCGACCCAGAGGAGTAAAGGGGCGGAATGTCACTTGGTTTTCCAGGAGCGGACTTGAATGGGTCATGTGGAGGTTTTCCCCTTGCTCAGTGAGACTCAGTAAATCCTTCCAGGGGTAGAAGGTCCAGGCTTATCCAGTAACACAGGAAGTCTTCCTGCCCAAGAACAAAGACAAAAAACAAGTTCAGACACAGAAAGACAAGGCTAAAGGTTAGACTCTGCTAATCTCCATTTGGCTAGAGTACCCAATACTGGCAAACACTCTGGCGTCGAGGTGGTGACAGCCCGCTGCTCAAGTACTCCTCTGGTAATGACCCAACGAGACACAGGTGTGCAGGGAGGCCCATCGAGGACAGGGCACCGCCTAGTGGTCGAGAGAGGAAAACACAAAAAACAACCCACACAAACTGGAATCCTAACACTGTTGCATAGACTGAACTTTTTCAAGCTTGACCATGACCTGGATGACTGAGAATCTTCACAGATATAAAACACACATTACAAACTTCCTCTGTTGGGGTGAAAAAACAACCAGCAGAGACGACGCCTTTTGCTCGCCTTCGCTGTCCAGGTGAATGTCAGATGAGCAAAAGCACAAAAAACTGCCAATTTTTTTTTTCTTTTCGCCATTAAAGAGGCAAAAACAGGGGGAAACAGCATCAAGATCAGCTGGTAATAATTTTTCTCTTATTCTTGTGCAGAAACATGGTGCCGTCCAACCTGATCGAAGCCACGTTCCAGCAGGTAAGTTCCGCGCAAGTTTGAAGTTACCATCAGTTCTGCTCCGTTTCCTTTCTGTGACAACCTGACTTTGATCCTTCAGTACAAAACAGACCTGATCCCCATACTCAGAGTTCCAACCCGAACCATCACAACTAACTTTATTTACGTGGTGCCCGACGACAGCGACCCCAAAGGACGCACAGTCTACCTGGAGCTGACTCCGCCCCCAGACGTCATATACAAGACGAGTCCTGGCAGCAGCCAGCAGATGAATGTCCTTGGGATTGTCATCTTCTCTGCCACCATGGGTGAGGAGGAGGACTAAACACAAACACCCTGAAGTTTCCTACTGACTCCAAAAATATTTATAAAAGCTTTATAAATAAAAAACGTTAAATCTTCATGCAGGACATTTAGGATACTATTTACTATATTTAGGATCAGAATCAGACTACACTTTATTTTAAATTTTATTTCATTCCAGTTTTCAGAAAGAAAATTTCAATCAGATACAAAAAAATTAGTCCAGAACACTATTAGGATGTTTTTCAGAAAGTCAAATGACTGTTTGTCTTGTGAAGGTCTGCTGCTTGGCAGGATGGGGGAGCGTGGATTACCGCTGGTCAACGTCTGTCAGTGCATCAATGAGTGTGTGATGAAGATCATCAATGCCGCTGTATGGTGAGTTGAAATTGTCTGGAAAAATGTTATCATAGCTTTCTATGGGTCTCTTGGACTTTGGTTGCTTTTAATTTACTTTAAATTCTGCAGCTATACCTGATCATTTTCAGGGGAACCTGACCAGGAAATTGTTCAGACAGAAAATGTCTCATAAACTGTTTGGTAAATGTACACTGCAAAATAATTAAATCTAAATTAGTAATTTTATTTTTTGGAAATAAGTGCATTTTTTTCTTCAATTGAGGAGGTAAGTGAGACACTTTGCCAATGGAACAAGACAATTTACATTTAAAATAATAAAAAACAACTGCATTGTCTTATTTCAAGTGCATATTATCTAATTATCTTGTAAAACTACTACTGACAAAGATCTTTTTTACCTGCTCAAATTAAGAGTGAATTAACATAATTTAAGACATTTTTACTTATTTCTAGATTGTTTTTGTAATGTATTAATTTTTTTTGTCTTAAATCAAACTTTTAATGTGAAGCAATATAAAAAAAGAAACTTATCTTTACTTCAATATTTAATTTATCTTTGGAAATATTTTGAATTTGATTTGAATTTGAATAAAAAAGCAACAGGGGACTAAAACTTGAATAAAGCCAGATCATTCGGATATCTTTTATTTGTCAATTTTCCCACAATATAAATATATGTTACAAAAATGTTTGATTATGTGTCCAGGGAAGAAACCTGGATGTTAAATTGGATGAATAGATAGCATTTGGAATGGGTCAGGAGGTTTGGTTTGATTTTGGTTCATTTGCTTTTCTTTACACTACAATTTTTATTTATTAGAAAGTAATAGTTTATTTGCTTGGTGAAAGAAACCTTTCACCAAGAAAATAAAAAGAAAACCTTTTTTTTTAGAACCCTTTCTTAATGGTCCACTTTAGAAACCGAAACCTTATGCAATGAAAACTCTGTTTTTTTTTTTTGGTGGAGGGGAGTTAGGATCTAGCTCAAGACAGTTTACATCTCCTCAGGTACTTCCCATTCGGGATCATCTTCTTGGTCGCAGGGAAGATCTTGGACATGCAGGACCCGAGCACCCTGGGGAAGAAACTGGGCTGGTATGGCATCACCGTCCTCACTGGCCTCTTCGTCCACGGCCTCATCCTCCTCCCACTTTTCTTCTTTCTCCTCACCAAGAAGAATCCCTTCACTTACATCCGGGGGCTGCTACAAGCCCTGGTCATTGCACTTGCCACCTCCTCCAGGTCAGTCCTGCTCCAACATCCTGAATCATCCCCAGGTTTGATAAAATGTAGTGAAACTTCTATGTTTTCAGCTCTGCTACCCTACCCATCACCATGAAGTGCCTACTGGAGAACTGTAACGTTGACCGGCAGATCGCTCGCTTTGTCCTGCCTGTAGGAGCCACCATCAACATGGATGGCACAGCACTGTACGAGGCTGTGGCAGCTATCTTTATTGCTCAAGTCAACGATTACGAGCTGGACTTTGGCCAGTTGGTCACCATCAGGTAATGAAGACTTTCCTTTTGTGTGAAGAGAAACAGTTTAAGTGGATCTGTGTATATTTGATTCTGCTGTACGCAGATGAAACTCTTATTTGCTCTTAAGTGCATAAATAAAAAGCAACTAGATTTCCTATTAGCATTAATAGGCTGTCTTGGGTGATCTTCTAGTATCACAGCCACAGCTGCTAGCATTGGAGCGGCTGGGATCCCTCAGGCCGGACTGGTTACCATGGTGATTGTGCTCACCTCTGTTGGTTTGCCTCCTGATGACATCACATTGATTGTGGCTATTGATTGGGTCCTGTAAGTATCAAGTATTATTGAAAGTCCTGTATTGGAGCACAGCTGGTTTAAATCATGTTTTAACCAAGCGCCTCCTTCTTGTTTTAAAGTGACAGATTTCGGACCATGATCAATGTCCTTGGAGACGCTCTGGCTGCCGGGATCATTGCACACCTGTGTCGAAAAGACTTTCCACTAAATGAAACAGGAAAGGTAAAAAGACACCTGAAGTTTTCATTTTCCAGTAGTTTTAAAGCCAGAAAATATATAAGGGTTCAAATTTTTTTTATCAGCAATGAATCTTTCCTCATCATGAATTGTTGAAACTGGCACAGGGAGGCAGAGTAGGGTGGTTATACAAATCAATGGTATAAACAAAAAGCAGCAACAATGAACTTCTCACCGGGTTGGTTTAACAGGCTGAATTATGTTCTATGTAATTCTTTCTAGCTGTCTAGGCTAAAGTCTCATACATTGGGTCAAGAGGGTTTTGTGAGAATGGCAGAGGCAACTTTTCCAGTTTAGTAGAAAAGAACCACATACAAGTGATCAAGGAAGAAAGCACTATCAAAATAAAGAGTAACAGCTAGCTGTAAGAGGGAGAAAACCAAAGAAAATAATTCTTGTGATATTCCATCATGCCAAATCACAAATCATCAGCATAGAAAGAGATTTTCTTCTAAGTGTCTTCTGTTAAATGTTTCACAGCAGTGGATAGGAGAAATGAAAGGTCAGGCTTGTTTCATTGAAGAAAGCTGCATGAGTTTAAACAATTAAGCACATCAGACACCATTGGGTTATAGCATAATGCTATGTTCAGACCACACGTTCTAGAGGAAGCAGAAGCAGCTAGTTTACGTGCAAAGTCATATTGCTGCTCAAGCAGCAGCTGCTGGAGTTGGGAAAAATTAACTTTTGCTGCTTGATGCGCCACATCGACCAGTCAGAGCAGCTGAACTCTGAGCTGGCAGGGAGAGAGACACAGCACTGCTGATGCTGATCGCTATGATCACTCCTCTGAAACAGTTTATTAACGCCTAAATTAACTTCAAATGTTGAAACCTGCCAGCAAAAATATTTTCGATTTTATTATTCTGGTGCCTGCAGTTTGGATTATGTAAAACGTCTTCTAGCCGCCAGGAACAGTAGCGGAAAACCTCGAAAAGGTGACCGGGCCAGAGGCTGCTGTTTGAACGGAATTTCTGAGCGGCTCCGACACAGAAATAATATTTGAAGGCAGGATCAGGATCTTGATGAACTGACTGCACAGATAAAGTTTTCTGGTGGACTTTCTCACTCAAAACATATTAAAACTACATTTTACCCACTTATAACAGCAAATATAGCAAAGCCACTCTCTGCCATTGAACACAGGAGCAGCAGAAGCATCAGAAGTATCTGGACACGCTACTGGACGCGCCTCAGGAGCATCAAGGATGCTCTTGACGCGCGTCTGACCTTAATGTGAACAAGAATCAAAAATGTAGCAGCAGATGCTTTTTTGCTGCTACCAGCACTTGCGGTCTGAACATAGCATAAGACTTTTGCCCCTTAAAAAAGGTTCTGATGCAAACTGAATACTGTAGGTACAAAACCAAACTAATCAATGAAATTACTGTACCATACTAATATTTTCAGGGAGGCGGAGATAAATATTGCATTCTAACAAATTTCTGCATATACCTACAGTCGGTGCCATCTTATGGGACACAGAACCCTCACACTAACTCCTACAGCATCAACATTCCCATGACAGAGATCCATACCCACAAAGACGGCATCTTGGAGACAACATGCGACTCTATCGGCCCAAGCCAGGCGCACACCGTCTACTATAACATCTGCCAAGTGTGAAGGACTGGGCCTCAGGTCTGACAGTATTCCTTCAGGCCATCGGGTCTAGTACAGGAGAAGAACCACAGTTGGCTCCTCCTCTTTGCTCCCTGACCAGCTGATCCTAATGGACATGAGTTTCAAAAGGGTCATCACAGGTACGGCAGACCCAAATGGTCTGCTTCATCGAGCTGGAAGGCAGCAGTCGTCATGGTGGAACTGAGATGGACCAGAATCTCAGCCAAAACACATTCTTTTAAATGGATCTTCTGTGTTTTTATGGTGGGAGAAGACTGAATTATGGACTAAATCCTAAATTTCATGGTACTTCTAAACTGAAGAGGGAAAACGTGGATCCATCGGGTCTTACAGGAGATCCAGAACCGTAATGCTGACCAGGATGTGGGGGGGAGAGCTGTAAAGCTTCTAGAACTAGGACCAAACCTGGATATGTTTTACGGTTTCTGAATGTCTGATTGGCTAATGCTCTGTGCCCCTCCCCTCTCAGGGATTAACAGAAATGATTAAAAAAAATCCAAGTGCTCTTCATCCAACAGACTTCCTCTGCATGCTGGCATGCTCTGATTGGCTTCATGTGAAGCTGCTGTGCTTTATTTGCTCCTCTTGTTTTTGTCTTGAATGTTGTAAAGTAAAAAAAGTGCTGAAGGAAGAAAAAAAAAGATATATTTCACATCTGAACAGGTTCTGAACAGGTTCTGTTCATTTGGACACTTCCTGCAGATCCAAAGATGGTTTGTTTACCAGGTGCTTCATGTTAAAACTGGCCAGTAAACAGAGAGTCCAGAGAGTCTGGACTCTGTTTTGTTTACCTCAGTGTTCCTCTGCCAATTCACTCCATCAACTCAACTTTTTGTAGCCTCCAGCTGTCAGCCCAGTTTGCATCAGCTAAATGTTTTTATATCTGTGAGTCTCATGTTTGTTTTTATTGGGAAATAAAGATGTCCCTTTGAAGTTACTGAAGCGTGAAGCCTGTCATCAGTCCAGGTGAAGATCCAACCAGCATCTCACCTGTGTGATTTATACAAAATGTGTTTTTCTGTATGAGTGGTTCTAAAAAAGGTCTCAAAAAAAAAAAAAAAAAAAAAAAAAAAAATATATATATATATATATATAAACAGATATTAAAGCCACTGAATATAATTTGTTTTTTTAATGTGTTTTTAGACATAAATTCTATTGTACATTCAAACACATGATAAAGAACATTACAATCTTAAAATCAATCACCAACTGTAGGTGTTACATCTGTGGCACTTTTGCAATAGTTCAGGTGAGATAAAGTAAAGGCAGGGATGAAATTTTCAAGGTTACCAAAAGACAGAAATAGCTTCAGCTTTGCTATCATTGTTAACTAAAACAAATTCTGCTATCACATTAACTTTTATCTGTTTGTCAGTGTTAAAGCTACTGTCCAGAATGAGTCCCAGGTTTCTAACGGGGAGATTAGAAGGTTTGAGATAAAAGACGTCGACTTGTCTTCCTTTAGATGCAGATGATTCAGAGCCATCCACATACTCACACTTCATTTGTAAGGGCTTGATAAAAACAATCTTTAACCTCATTGCACCCTACTTTTTAAGTAAACCATCATAATACACACATCTTGGCATAGGAGATAAAATAAACAGATTAAATAACAGTGCACATGAATAACAAATACGTATATGAGCAATTTGTTTCCAAAACATACACAGGTAAACTAAACAAACAAAGCAATGATTAAAAAAAAACTGAAAGAGCCAAGAAGCAATGAACTGAGAAATATGAAGAGGAAAAGATAATCACCTGGTTCAATATGTGTCCCCCCCCTTTTTTTTATTTTAAACAATAATTTCTAAATTGCTATAATGCAGGAGTTTATAGACTTTACATGATAATGTTTAGAACTTTGCACTAAATTTTGCTTGGGGCTTTCTGGGCATTTTTCCGAATGCTTTTATATTCTTTATTTAAATATCGGAATAATTTCATATTGACCAACATAAAGAAGTGTATTATGATAAAGTGTTGTCATATATCATGCTTTATGCGTCTCTCCTACTTGTTTGGGGACCTGCTTCTGTGCACTTGTCAGCTTTTGTCATTCTCAGGGTGGAACGGAAATGAGAAAGGAAAAGGGCCGTGATTGGTTACATCTCTGAAACTCCCGCCTCTTAAGACAGCACTGTTTTTTTGCTAGTTCTGGTTTGTAATGTCAGCAGAAAATATTTAGGCTAATCTCTGTTCTCTTAAAGAGTAAAAAATGGAGAGTTAAGTTATTAAATAACATGATTAAACTCAGCTGTGAAAGAAGCAGCTGTAGCAATGCTCTCAAATTATTATTTGGAACTCTGTGTAAGCTAAGCTAATGTTAGCTTCACTGTTTATATTCCGTAAAGTGAGGCTTGATTTAACTCATAATTGTAGTTGAACATAGACATTTGAATTTCTAATCAGTTTGCTGTAACTGTTACCCAGTTTTTTTCTTTCCAGCGACCATTTTGTTGACAAAATGGGCAATGACATTGTCAAAATTTCTAACTAGGAGGAAAACAGATATGTCTGAAGAGGCAGGATTTTCCTGAAAAGTAGTTTCTCTCATTGCTTCCTCACTTAAAGTGTCGAAAGTGGACATTAGCGCACAAAAACCTGATCACATGCAAGTAGGAGAAAAGTTACAGATGCATACAAAGCAAGCCACAAGTGCAGAGAAGGAGCATGTACTTATGTTTGGATATACCGAGGGACACATAGTATTGAATCTGCATGCATAGAACCATGGAGAGTAGTTTTCCTGAGTGTATTAAATAAAACTGCTCTTCTCAGTTTTCTTTACCTGTGTTAGCTTTTGGTAAAATTAAGACTACATACATCTTACTCCATGGTCCAGCACAAAAGGCCAGGTTATGATGGACTATAGTCAGTCCTACACAACAAACACTCACACCTCTACACCCTGATGTCATTAATCCAATAAAGCAAGCATGAGGGCGCACATGACTGCAGCCCTGCAGCAACAAACAGTCACAGGTGTTCCTGCTACTAATCCACCTCAGATTAAAAGCACAATAATGACCTAGTTAGGGAAATAGGAACAGGTGGGATTAGGATGTGGTCCAGTTGGGGGTCCAGAACACCTCTAACAGCTTCCCACTATGGTGAGCAGCTTTTAAAGGCCTAATGTAAAGTCTGAAACCCTGACCTTGAAGACAGTTCAAAGGAAATTGTATTTTTTTTCTCCCACTAACATTTTAGATTCCTGGTTCTACTTTGTTCTCCTGAGGATTGGACTCTTGCATCATCTCCAAAGGATGTTTCTGTCCCACATGTTAAAATAAGCAACTTTTCAGAACATTATGGGTCTTGTCTTTTGGTTCCTCGAGATCTTTCTACAATTGTTTTTCAGTGTCAGATTTTTGTTACAGTGATTCACCTGAGAGAGCTTCAGCATACAGTCCTTTTGTCTCAGATGAGCTGGTAGTTACTCTGCCTTCTGAGACCTGCTGTAAATTTCACAGTGTTGGTGCAGAATCCTCCTGCATGTTCTCACGATTTTAACCATCTGGTTTATTCATCATCAAAGTCGGCAAATGCAGGAAACCAGAGCCTCTCCTTCCTCTCCTCTCTGCCCCGAACGTCACTTTCTTTCTGTCTCCGTTGGACTTTCTGTATCCAGGCAACCTGAGCACCAGCCAGAGTCATCATGCATACCTGCCAAAAGAAAAAAACTGTGGATTATATCACTCAGACAAATTTCATTGTCTAAACCATGTTGAGTTGAGGAGCTCAAAGCTGTGGAGAAGGCTGATGTTACCTCAAGCAGCAGCAGGCCGACAGTCAGACCGGCCACCAACCGCAAGTTGTTTATGGCCCACATGATAATCTTGTCCAGACACCCATCCGTGAAGATGTCTGCTTTAGCTGGGCCTTCCTCTTCCTGCTGCATCCCATAACCACACATGGTGTTCAGCACTGTCTACAGAGACAGAAACACACATTTAACTTTATTAGCAGGTAGCTAATGACCGGTAAAAGCTGCTCCAAAACCAGAGGTAGCAGTAACTTCGTGGTTAAGAGTTGTTCTCCAAATTCTTTGCGAGATGGTATCGTCACAAATTCACCACTGGTTCTCTCCACCCCTGTAATAAACCTATTTCCATTTAAGGAAACAGGAGTGAAACAGATGAAAGGAGGATTTTTTATTTTTCAAACCTAAAGGTCCCTTTGTCCTTGCTTAGTGTTTTGATTTTTGTACAAGTTCTGTGGTGGGGCGTGATGGTGGCGCAGCGGTTCGCGCGCACGACCCATGTACAGAGGCCTTAGTACTTGAATCCGACCTATGGGCCTTTGCTGGATGTCTCTCCCCCTCTCTCATACCCACTTTCCTGTCAGCCTACTGTCGAAAAAAATAGCCACTAGTGTGCAAAACTCTGCTGCTCAGGATCTATACATCTGAGCTAAATTCTTTTTTCTGTGACATTTCAAGTTACCCTAACTGTACAGAAGCTCTTTTAAACACATTTTTTACTGCTGCACTTTTCTGCTGAGCAGTTGTCACATTCACATGGTTTTTACTTCTAGAGGGTTAACTTTGTCCATAGATTGTCTGATTTAAACCTAAATCTGGATATACTATGATCAATTTTTAGATGTATGAGGGCAATTTGATCATGCTGTAGAAAAAAAAGAAATCATTTTACAGAGAAACACTGGTCCAAACCTGGTTCTTCAGGTGCTTGCAGCATGAGAAGGGAACTCCACAGGCTTCCAGACTGGGATTGTTCGTTGAACACTCAAAGTACACATTATTGGACCAGTCCTTATACCCCTCTACACCACAGCACTGGAACTGCACAACAACAAAACAACACCGGGTTACTAAACAAGGACTAAAGCTGGTTTGCAGAACACTCAATTTCTCCTTCACCTTCTTCTGTATGTAGTCGATGGCATTCTCCAGGTCCCGATCCTCCCTGTAGCGGACAATTGCCTTCAACATCAGCTTTTCTGTCCTTTCCATCACCTGGTCAAGAGCATTGTCACATCTGATCTCTGTTTGATATAATAAAACATGTACATGGGTTGTTTTGTTACCATGTCTGTAAAAACGTATCCTACTGCTCCAGCTGCAATCTGAAGGAGGAAAACAACAGCCAGGATGCCAAGGAACTGTGGGAAGAGACAGAGAATTTGGTACATTAGCTGAAAAGCTTTATTGCACTCTGTCAACATTTAAATCCTATATGTCAGCATTGTCAGACTAATCTCATTGGAGAGACCCCAGACAGGCAACCATTTAGAGTGAAACTAAAAGCCAAAAGTGGTGTCTAGCATGCCACATAAGAAAAATTAAACATGCCGGTTGAAAAGTGACATATTTTGCATACCCAAATGGAAAAGCAAATAACTTAGCAACTGTAAGCCCACATTTCATGTGCAATACATTATTTGAAAGCTAACACCCTCTAGTTTCTGAATACATAAATGAACCAAGCTGCATAAGTTCAAACATGACTATGTTGTTTTTTTTATTCTCAAAAATGATAGGTCTTTTTTAAACAGCAGTAATAAAGACATGCTTGTGAAAAAGGCAGATCTAATTGTATTACATTTGTTCTACATCATGTCAACCACAAATACAGAACACTCCAGACGTTTAGCTATAACAGTTCCAGAGCTGTGGGGCTTTGAACTTTTGGTATCACAAGTGTCTCCAAATGTGCCAAATGCTTTTACTATGCTTTGCTTTACTATTTGACCCATAGAATAACACTGAAGCATTTTGATGGCTACAAAACATTTATGAAGCAAGTATTTTCCACTTTTTTTTTTTTTTAGAATCAGTGTATATAACAACATTTATAATTTTAACATCTATAATAACACAGAAATCTATAAAAGATAGTGAAACTGCTGCTTTTCAATCTAAATTAAACCCCATTGCTTTTTCTGAGCTGTATTTTTATTTTCAGCATTAGGCATTGTAAAAAACAAAATCAGCATCCAAACTGTATTTTTCAATCTGATGCAAGCCGGTAAAATGGGGTCTGCCTTTTATAAAGTTGCCATGTGTGGATGCCATGTGTTGAACCCTTATTTCATTGGCTACAAAGCCCACATAGCCCACGTGGTCTTAACCAATACCAGCTGGACTCTATGAGGCGTAATATTGCACGTCACTGGCTGATAGGAAGTGACCGGAAGTGAGATTTCAGGAAAAAAAATAAAAATTTATCATGAATTTCAAAAGTCTGATGTGGGTATTGAACCGTCAACTTTGAGAATGGATTTTGATCATTACATGTTTAATCTAACCAGACTAGTTTTAACCAACTAGATTGGTTGTTTTTCCAACCAATCTATTCTCAGAATCTATCCAAACTCTATCCAGCTCTCCTACACACTCCTACATCTTGAATTAACACAGAGGCTGTTTAAATGCCTGCTGAAGATCCAGCAAGCTGAACCACTTCTCAAAGCAGTCACGTGATATAGCAGGGTAGCGAGGCTTCTGACGACTACTATTTTGGCTCTTCCCCCAAATGAAGCAAGCGTCTCGCGGGAACGCCCCTTCCACTACTCGACACACGCCTTGAAGCCTAGGCTCATCTCATAACATCACTAATTATCTATGACCGGCTAACTTTTCTGATGTCAACAACCAGACGTTATGGGCAATTTTATCATCATGGAATATTTTTATTACTAATATACTAGATTACTTTTAACCTGTGGACCCTTATGGACGAATGGAGTATAAACAATTAAAGATTTATAAAACGGCTCCTGGATGCTTTCAAAGGAATGTAGTTGTGGCTGCTTTGTTTGTTTACATTTTGACATCATACTATATCTGTGTTAATTGTGGTTTGGTGCTCGCTGTGTCCATAAAATGAACTTGGGTTGTTGAAAGTCTAACCTGTCTATGTTGGTAAACATTTTGCTGGTGTTATTTTCATGCATTCTGAGTTATTCTCAAAACTCAAACCTCTAAAAACCAACTGGATTTGGTTAACAATATATTACGCAGTTATGAAAAATGAACGTTTATATATGTGGTTGTAAATGTGTGTTTGTGTTAGAGAAAACATTCATGCCACCAAATCTTTGAGTTATGATTCCTTTGACAATGTGACTGAATGTTCCAAAAACAGCAGCATATTGTCAGTATTACAAAATGAAGTGGATTGCGGGTGATGTGTTAACAATGAGCTCCTCACACCTTCTCTAAGGGAGAGCCATTATGCCATCCTGCGGAGAAAGCTCAATTATGCCACTTGTATTTGGGATCTCATTTTTTTGGGGCCATAATCCAGATTTCATGATCATAAGGGGGGCAAGAAGTGCAGACCAACCGGTAGGTCAAAAGCTTTGCCTTTTTGGTCAGCACCTACTTCACCAAGACAAACCAGTGCAGCGTCCGCATTATAGCAGCTGCCGCACTGATCTGTTTATTGATCTCATGCTCCATTCTCCCTGCACTCATGAAGAGAACCCCAAGAAACTCCTCCACTTCAGGCATGGACTCTCCTTCAACCTGAATGGGATAGGCCACCCTTTTCTGGTTGAGAACCATGGGCTTAGAACTGGAGGAGATGATTCTCAAACAAGGCTCTTCACACTCAGCTGCGAACTACCCCAGTACATGCAATCTTGGCAGATGGGAGCCAGCAGAACCATGCAGTCTTTAAAAGCAGGGGCGAGATCCTTCGGCCCCCAAACCCTTCTCCCTCTGGTCCTTGGCTGCACCTAGAAACCCGGTCCATAGAGTATGAACAGGACTGATGACAGAGGGCAGCCCTTGTGGAGTCCAACAATCACTTGGAGCGAGTGAATGCTCGTTATGCAGATCAGACTCTGTCTCCGCTTGTACAGACTGGATGGCCTGTAAGGCTCCTCCCACTTAAAACAGTGTTAGTAAAGCACTGCTTTCCCCCCGGGGGGCACCGGACAGTTTGCCAGAATTTGAGTTCAACCGGTCCTAACTCTAACCCGATTCTTGGTGGCGTCTCCAAAATCCTCCCAGGCCGTAGTTTTTGCCCCGACAACTGCCCGGGCAGTGGCACGCCTGGCCTCACGATACCTCCATGCTGCCTCAGGAGTCCCGCAAGCAAGCCAGGCTTAATAGGACTCCTCTTTCAGCTTGACAGCATCCCTTACTGCCGGTTTCCACTGGGCATTTCCAACACAACAGGCACCACAGACCTTATGGCCACAGCTAGGGGTGGCCACAACAACAATAGCGGAAGAGAAGATGGCCCACTAAGTCCATGTCTCTAGCCTCCCCCGGAATCTGAGAGAAGCTCTCTTAGAGGTTGGAGTTGAACACGTCACTGACCGAGGGTCCACCATGTATTCCTAAGTAGTTTGGGCCTGCCAAGTCTGTCTGCCTTCTTCCTCTTTCAGCCCAACCAGCTCACTACCAGGTGGTGGCCGATGGACCATTCCGTGCCTCTTTTCGCCAGAATGTCCAAGACCAAGTGTCCAAGACATACAGCCAAAGGTCAAAAGATACAACTACAAACTCAATCATAGACCCCCAGGCTAGGGTGTCCTAGTACCAGGTGCAAAGATGGACATCCACATGCTTGAACATAGTGTTCATTATGGACAATCCGTGACTTGCACTGAAGTCCAATAATGAAACACCACTTGGGTTCAGAGATGGGGGTCCATTCCTCAAAATAACACACAGCCCCAACACCCCTGTACCTATCATGTCCAGATGGTTCTTAGCGTTTCTATAAAAATAAAAACAATCTTTATTTAATTCTGTTCTGAAATAATAAAATGGACCCTGCTATACTTTAAATCAACAGAACAACCAAGATGTATCTGACACTTGGTACAGACCTCAGGCATCGTGTATTGAGCATGTTTCCTCACCTGTAGGTTTAAAACGGTCCTTGCATCCATCTACTACTGAGAGTCAATGTTTAGGACCCTCAAAGATATAGAGACTTGTTATCCGTGTTTCTGTGAGTGGGAGTTTAACTTACGTTTTATGATATGCCTTCCTTTCTAAATATAGCAAAAATAAAATAGGCTTAAGAAATTTGATGTAAATAAAATTGTTAACTTGAACTACCCCCCACTCCATCGCCTGCCACACATGACTGCAGAAGAGCGTTTTACTTCCTTTCACTAAGGATTCAAATGTGAAATGTTTTTATTAATAAAAATTAAGAAACGAGTACCGTTTTCAGCAAACAGGTGGCGTTTCGCAGAGCTCCAAAACATCCCAAAAAGGTGATGAGAAACATCAAAGAACCAACAAGGATCAACAGCAGTGCTGGATCCACTGTCAGAGTGTCGACTACATCTATGAAAAAAGACAAACAAAAAAAACATTAATTTGTAATGAGCCACAATGTGATTAAAAAACAAATCTGGTTCTGAAATCTTAAATCTGGTCAGACCCCTGAAGCAGATCCTTGGAGGTTTATACCAAATTGCGCTCTTTATGCAATATTTTTGTTCATTTTTTCACACAGAAAGAAAGACCCTGTATATTATTGAGGAGTAAGCGTTTAACCACACAAACATCTGACTGGGACTCATAGCTGAGGGTAAAAGTTGAAACTTGTCTGAGAAGCCTCTGCTGGTTTATCTTCAGGAATGTGATCAGCATGGAAACATCACGATGTCATCATCTCTTTCTGGTTCCCTGAAGCTTTTCCTGGATACTAACTCAGTTCAGTTTTTCTTCATCACAGATAAAGTGATCAATTGATTTATTGAAATACCTCCTTATCCAGGTCAGTTTATTTGGCTTTTGCACAAAAAAAAACCAACTTATATTTTCTGCTTTTATTATTAACTGTTTTTATTTCCTGTTCTTAATGTACTTTTCTTTTCTTTTGTTGCAATATTTCTTGATTTAAAATGTACAGCTATTGATTTTAAAATTGCATCTGCAATTGTTTTAAAGTTCTTCATAGGTAAATAGAGTAGTAAAACTAGTTGTAGCAGAAGCAAGAATTGTTGACAGTGTTCATCATATATTATTGAAAGTAAATTAAATGTTTTAATAAAGGACATTAACTGAAATTGCGTTCTTAAAATGGAACTTTTAAAAAAAACAAGCTAATCTAAATAAAGAATTTTTTATAGTAATTTGCACACATGGACAAAATTAGCAATGCCAATTGTTTAATAAAAGAAAAACACAGAATGACCACAAAGATAACTGGAATAGTAATAATAAATAAAAATTCTTTGAAAATTAAATAATGAAAATCAGATATTGCTTTTCCACAACACTTCAACAGAACGATTGAAATAAAATTAAACCAAATGAATATAATGTGACAAAAGGTACATGGACACAAGATGTGTCCAGTATTTAGCATCACAGGTGTCAACAATCTAGTAATAAGTCAGTCAGCCTATATATGGGGCTATAGGTAGTCACTGTGCTGTTTGGTCACATGGTGTGTACAGTTATTTTTAACGGCCATCTTAAACTTAGTTTGTTTTTTTTGTCTTCAGGACGAAAACTAGTCATTACCATATCTTCTAGTTTTAGTTGCTTTTAGTCGACTAAACTCAAAAATGTTTTAGTCTAGTTTTATTCAGTTTTATGTTGCAAATTTAATCTTTATAATTTCGAATAACAATCAGATGTCTTACCAAACTGACAGTTCGTGCCTAGATACAAAATTGCTGGAGATGCAATGCTGCTGTGCAGTTCATCAATGCTGTTGGGCAGAGAACTTTGATTTATAGAATTCAAATAAAGTTTATTTTTTTAATTTTTTTTTAATGAATGCCCTACTTTATTAAAAAAGTGTCACAAAAGAGTTGTGAAAACAGCAGGTCTAGTTCAAGACATCATAATGATTAATATAGCAGACAGAGTAGCTGACAAAATGTACAATAGACGAATGGTTTAAGACATACAAGGTTTCCAACCAAAAGCAAATACTTCCTGATCAACAATGAACTATGCATTACACATAGATCAATAAAACATTCATTGGTCCAAAAAAGCAAAGAACAAAAACATTCCTCTTTCTACTTTTGCAATTTCTAAGAATTTGCCCCTAAGTTACTGCTGCTAAGTGGT